GAACAGCCACCGCCAATTAAAGTCAAACCGGGCTGCTTTTGATTTGATAACTTTTAGGTAAAATGGTCACTAGCCCTTTCTGGTTTATTGAGTCATCCAGCGTCTCCACAACTATTTTTTATTATGATAATTGCTTGAAAAGGGGCTGTGTTTAAATTATTATCATTGTTACAACATTTTAGACAGATTTTTGCTACTAAAATAGTGGTATCTAAGAAAATACTGCCAGCCAGGAGATCAGATTTTGCTGCTTCTGCTTCAGTCACTCTGATGCAAGCAGGACTGGATGATCCCGAAGGCCATTTTCCCATCAGTAACCCAAAACCAACCCTCTCGATGATTACAGTTTTCCATTTGTCAAGTTACAAGAAGGAAGTTATTTTTAGTGGAGCTCCTTGAACTCTACAAACCTGTTTCAGGAGAGATCAGCTTGAACCCATGACTGACTCCACATACGACACAGGGCTCTGGTGACTCTTCAGCTCACAGCAGTAATAAAAAACCAGGCTGGAAGCACTGAATTTAAAATATTCTGTAATTTTGACTTAGCTCAGCATTGCCTAATTTCTTTTTTCCTGCCTGTTCCTTCCCCTCCTTGTCTCCCTCCTTGGCTAAGACCAAGGAAAAAAGAGCAGCAGTGGCTGGGCCAGGTTATGTGACCCTGGGGAGCAAGACTTAGACACTGAGTCACTCTGGAATTCCCACTCCGGGCTAAGCTGTGACACGACACGGACACGTCTGCTCTTTCTGGAAGGCAGCAGGAGTTGAAGCTCAGCCCAGAGAGGGGAGGAGGGAGCTCGGCGCTAACGGCAGCGCTGAGCTGTGCTTCGCTTCCAGCCGGGCTCCCCCCACCCCACCAAGGTGTGAGCCTCGTGGGCTGGAAATGGCTACGCCACGATTTAAACCCCGTTGAAACTGGAAATCGCTACTTGGCTGGCGTTTTGCTCCTTCAGAAGTACAGTATGGACTGGGGCTGCACGGTTGCAGGGGTGGTAACGGTATGAGAAGCCTTTGGGCCCTTGGGCATCGTTTTCGAAGGCGCTATTTTGAAAAAGCTGTAGTTTCAAAGGTGTCGTCTCTTGCTGAGCTGCCGTGGTAAAAATCTCCTTCCCACTCGATGTCTCTGCCATCCCAGAGCAGTTGTCACGCTGAGCATCAGTGGCTGGCTAGAAAGGCCGTAGAAACGAGATGCACGTAGTCTGGATTTGCCCGTTTCCTTCCAAACCAGAGCTGGAGTTTGGGTAACAAGACAGAGCGGTTTGTCTCGTACTTTTCTGTTGCCTCCTGCAGCTTTTCGAATCAAAAGTACTG